GAAAGTGGAAAAGGCCTTGTGTGGAGCTAAAATCAACTGCAAGTTAATGTTTTACATGAAGAACTTACTAGTAATACAAACAACATATGAATGACGACCTTACAATATATCAGACAATAACATTCTACTTAAATTGGTTTTGAAAGAGTAATGAAGTTAGTATGCCATTCATTTATATTTCATGCTCTGTGGTGATTTGTCAAATCATAATACATAAAAAACACAAAATGAAAAATAATAAGATGGGTGAAACAAATAACATATATCTATGCCGACCAAAATTCAATGGTAATACATAACAAAGAAATTATTTTCCTACTATGTTTTTATCTTACAAATCTACAGTCAAATGTGGAAAGTTTCTGAGATATTACACTATATATGTTATAGTGTTCATTTAAAATCTTATAACTTATAACACGTGGGAAATTCAATTCCTCAAATTATTTTTCTTTTTTTTAACGCAGATAACAACTTTTTTTCAATTTTGACTTTTTTATTTTTCACCCTTCAACTATGTATTTTCCCGCGCTCAGCATTTTAGATTTCACACACCCAGTCAAACAACCAAAAAAAATAGAGAGAAATAAATTCAAGTCATTCCTAATGTGCTCCTTTATCTGATGGTGAGATAAGCCTATTGGTAGGAATGTGAAGTTCGAACCTACGTTTACTACCCTAATCAATCATATTTGAGATGAGGCTCGATTTCGGAGCGCCATTTCCATATAAAAAGGCTTGTACAAATATTTTCTACCTGAAATGCACTTTGAAAGTTAATTTCCTAGTGTTTCCGAAGCGTATTTGTACTGCTCGGCAATCAGTCTCGTATGGAAACATTCCATTGTGGAATAAAGAATATTCTCTATCGTGGCCGCCATCCAGCACCGATCGTGTCGCTTCCACAGCCGGGTGCACAGGATCACCGTATCATATCTGTCCAGTCACGTAGAGTGGGGGTCCTAAGTCTGACTACCGTCTCTAAGGACCAAGGGAAATTGTGATTTCCAACAAGTGTGAAATTGAAACTTTATTGATTATGCACATTTGACCCTGTGTACCACATTTTCTAGTTTTAACGAAAATAGGATTGTCTCCGTGTTCTTATTCTTGATAACATTTGTTCTTTAATTTTGCAAAAAAAAGTGCAATGAAATATTAACTTGGAGGTAGAATTTTTTCTCTAAACCAGCAGCTTATGCGTGGTTAAAAAAGAGCCCAGATGGACTGAATGCAATGATAATTGTACGGTTTCAGTTACCACCTAGATTGAGTGTTCGTTTCTTCCTTTGAAAGAATAATTCGTTCCGAATGGACTAGAATTGACTTGGAAGAAAGCGCGCTTTCCAACACAGTTATTAAAGAAAATGGACGCATGTTATTGATCAGGCCCCCTCTTTGTAGTGCTTTGTTCCTTCCATCACTTCGTTGAAGAGATTTGTTACCAGCTGCAGTTTGTTGTGATCGATTCTTTTGCCCACCTTTGCTACCTACTATAATTAGTGCGCCATTTGAGAAGCAGATTGAGAGGGACCCGATGCGATGTCCCGCCATATGTCGGTGCTAGTGTGACACCGAAATTCAATACAAAATTGCGAAACAAAAAAATCCATCTCCAGATACTTAATTTCGTTATTGCGTGAATACACCTTATTTGTAAATAAATGTCTTTTTTCGTCGTGAAAGCAATCACTAGGCTGTGATCCCGAAGGTGTGAAGTATAAAATGAAAGCCAAAGAAAACACACAAAAGGTTTAAAAGATGGAAACGGGAATAAACGAGCCGCAACCATAATTTGTTCGTGTAAAATGATGCAGATGCTTTTGTGACCAAGATGCTGATAAATTACCTTCAACAATTTCAATTGGATATGACTCAAGCTCACAGAGGGCTGTGTAAAATTTGACACTGTATCAGGGAACAATAGGATCACAGAGATGAACGACTATGCCCCCATATAAAAGCAAGATATCAAATTATGTTTAGCACACATCTTTCATAACGTCTTTGTCACTTAGAACTGCTAGCGTGCCGAACTGCTCAACCCCAAAAACGCCGTTGCACCCACGATTCACACCCCGTATTCGTGTTTCAATCACTTAAGACCTCAGTTTTTGTGACCTTCAAAAGTCTCCTATTTTTCAAAAAAAGAATGGACGTTTAACAAATATACTTCTAACGATACACCATTCCACACCAGAACCTTTTCTTTGATTGTCACAGTTAAAAGTCTTTCCGTGTTTTGCACAATTGATGTCGCGCATAAATAATGACAAATTTCCTCCTTGTTTGAGTTTTATTCTTACTAATGACGGCGAACGTAAAGAACGAATTAATTGAATTAACTCAACCACCTCCAGTCTTCATTTACACATCTTCCATCATCTAAAACGCCAGTCTAGATGAGATTTTAATCCACGTCTTCACTTTAGTAGATTCAGTAGATTTTCCGGTCTCCCGCCTTTGATTGTTTTGTTCGGCTGCCTTGAGACTTCACGAGTTTGTTGTAACACTTGCTGCCTTCGCCCAATTAAATGAGAAAATTTCCAATGTAACGGTTGTCTGGGTTAATTACTGTGGAATCCTGAGACATTTAGTTTCATATGCTACCAGCCTGACCTAAGTACAACGCCAGAGTTTCCTAGGTATGGAGTCACGAAAAATATTACAACTAGGCCTACGTGGAGAAAGACATCTGATCTTTATTATTGATTTTATTATTCAGAACCGTTTAGAGAAAACAAATACCACATATACAAAATTGAATTATATACTTTTAGCAAGCCAACTTTGAACTGGACAGATTTAAATTCTCAAATGTCACTTGCACAGGTTGCGGAGTAAACTCAGGCAACGCTATCTGAATAAAACATTTATCCTCTTTCTCTAAAACGATCCCCTTTTAGCTCTCAGCATGCCACAAAATGAGCTAGACTTAATTAACTAGGATAAATTTCTTGTTTGGCTCTGTTTGAGTCGATAATAAAAGATTGATTAGCCCAATTCATTTATTTATTGCAGCAAGACTTGATATCAGAGCATGACTGCAAAATCATTTGTGAAAAATATGATGTGGGATCCATTTGTTTAATTCCCGTAATGCTTAGAGCGCGTTATCTCGTTCTCCCACAACTGCGAGTTGAGCGATCAATACCAAAATCACAAGACCCAGCAGATGAGAAAATAACCGAAGAATGAAACGATTTATAACAGTAATAATAAGAGTATCATTATCTCTTTGAAACAGCCCAATTCACTGAAGCGAGAGCACTGTCATAAAACAAATGGGACGAATAATAAGAGAGCAATTACCACTTGGGAGCTATACTTTTCTTCTCGCCTTCAAGCGGAATAATGCTTTCAAAAATGTCGCGGAACAAATTAGTTAAATACGACGTTTACAAACCTAAAATTGCCCGCAATCACTCGTCTTGCAGCCACAGTAGAAAAGTGGTTGCATAAAAAATATACAGCCACATCACTGTCACTTTACAAAAATAGAAGGATTTATATTTCAGCACAACTACTACTGCAAAAAAAATCACTTTTTTCTCTCGATGTGCGTGATTTTTTTTTTCATTCTAATCACTTTGTGAATTACATTATGGCAAAAATGTGTATGTGGGTTATTCCCAAAATAATGTACAGAGAAATAAACTTTACTACAACTAAATCAAAATAGGATAGACACCATATCAAAATTGCAACAAAAAAGGAAGAGAATTCCATCATGTTTTCAGAAACCCTTCAGTTGGAATACATATCATTTGCTTGGTTTTGTTTAGATACAATTCAAGTGATCGTCTGGGCAATGGAGTTGTCAATCAGCAGACGATCGTCATAAAATTGAAGTATGGCGCGTGTGTTAACATAAACAATAAGGCTTTGAGTGTTTCGTTTGCTGTAATTCAATCCCGTTAAGGCAGACGAGAAACTTCTAACTTTTTGGTCCTTAGAGTTCATAAAATCTCACCTAAATTTGCAGCAAACTACCAACATGCTTTCAGACGTTAGCTGCTGAATATTTCACGAGAACAGTAATCTATTTGTTCGTTAATAATTTAGAGTCAAATTTCTGATAACTCAAAGCAAATTGCATTTCAACTTGAATAGCAAGCCATCATTATGAAAATAATACAATTTTAGCCTTGTCCAATTTCTAGATTTTTCTCCCGACCTTATCTTATTGAGATCAGCTATTTCAACGTGATTTTATCGCAAACGAGCGAATAATGATACTATTAAGCACAAAAGCAAATATAGCAGAAAATGACCCATTAAATTTTATATGTAATTTAGCAACTAAGATGGTAGACAAGAAAATTTACGAATAAATTTTGGTCACATAAACTACCATTAACGATGGCATTTTCAAAAGTAGCTTTCGAGGATGCGTTAAAAAAGACAAAGTGGCGGTTTTGCTGTCTTACTAAAAATCCATTATCTTCAACTAAAAACAATAAAAATATAAATTGCCCCTTTGAAGTAATCATTGATATGAATAAACCGCTGACTATCCCTCAGGTTCGCGTTAACTCTGTACATTTTGGTCATATTTTCGGTAGTTATCTGTACTATGACGCCTCTGAGTGAATGTAGATACACATCACATAGCAGCACATATCCTGCAAGTGATTCAATTCGCATACTCACTCTAGATCAGGTGCATCTTGCTAAGCCTCCGAAAACAAATTATAACAAACGAGCTCGAAACCCTTGAAGCCGAGGGAGAGAGGAAGCCCAAGATCGTAAATAATGGCTGCCGTGGACCAAGCCGAAACCTTCCAATTTCCAGCGCACCAAGAGATCCCGCCCTCTTCAACTAATCTAACATCATCCCGCTACTTGCTAAATGGGGTCACATCTAATGTAGACCAACTACCACAAGCTGCCATGCAGACAACATGTCAATTTTCCCCAGCAACCCTCTAAATATCAATTCTTGCCTGCATCGCCGCCAAACTCAAACCCCCGGTAAACCAACGATAAGCAACAGCGTATTGATAGCTTAATGTACAACAATTTATTTACATCTATACATTCACTTTAACATGCGAAAAAATTCGTAATCATGTCATATTTTACCCCAGTTTTCAAATAGCACCAGCACATGTCGGGATATGTCAATCTCCAAAAATGGAGCTGTTTACTTTGTTAAATTACTATTTTCTATATACGTCTACATTGCTTTCAAAAGGAAAACATTTACAATCCGTAGTTGTCATTAAGTTACTGTTGCACAGCATTAATTCATAGTCGACTAAGATTGAAGGCTCTAGCCTTCTGAAACGATCATTTACTTATTTATATATTTACAAGGTCTTAAAGTGTTTACGTACTTTTGTCGTCAATTTTGAAAAAAAAAATCTAATGGTCAAATCTTGAGCAAATGGCAGGTGTACAATTGGCATCAGAAGCAGTTTGCTGGATCTAACAAGATTTTTTAAAACCTCCGGAGCCATTTGTCACAAGCTCAATTGTGAACAGTTGCCTCAAAGAGAAAACTTTTTTAAATCGTTCTACACAATTCTAATGTGTTGTCAAAATGTCCATGGGAATAGTTTATCACATTATTGCACGTTTCATATTAAAGCAAAAGTCGTGACAATTATTTAACAGTGAATTTCTCTTGATTGGATCGCCCTCCTGAGGCGGTACATATTAACTGAGGCAGTCATCCGAACAGAGCTGAGCTGCAGTGATAAACTGGATCCCAGAGGTTCTCTGGACTGAATGAGGCGAGTCTTGCGCCAGTATCATCATTAATGTGGAAACACCAAATTTGAATGGGGGTGAGGTGCGGCGTAAAAGCCATATGGTGAAATAAACGGTGACATTGGTACCTGAGGCCTATGGAATCCGTAAAACGCCGCTGCTGCTGCAGGAAAAGTCACTCCTAGAGCCGGGGGCAACATTGGCTTGGCCGCCATCTTGAGTTTTTCCAATTCTGCTTCTTGCAGTCTCTTAGCTTTTGCTCTTCTATTTTGAAACCAAATTTTCACCTGAGTCTCTGTTAAGTTCAATGATGAACTGAATTCGGCACGTTCTGCTATTGACAGATATTGTTTTTGGCGAAATTTTCTCTCAAGTGCTAATAATTGTGCGGTTGTAAATGGAGTTCTTGGTTTACGGTTTGTCTTGTGCTTCCTCAGTGTACATTTTGACGGAGTAATCCTTGGAGGGGATGGTGCACCTGAAATTTTAAAAAATGGTAAAAATTAAACTAAAATAAATAATAAAATTGTGTTAACATTACCATCTTACAATTTCAAAAACATATTAAATTTAAAGACAATATCTATATAATTTCCGAGTATCTAGTTCACAGTCAAAATACCATATAAATCATTAAGCGCCCAACTGAAGAAAACACGGATTCACTTATTTTTCACTCGTAAAATAAGAAATATAATCAAGCAATAAACATTAATCTAGAAAATAAAATCCACAGGCGTTTCCGTAGGTAATTATGATTGTGATTATCATACGATAAAATCTGTTAGGAAATAACTTTATCTTATCATAAACTTAAACAAGAAGGGCACTAAATTTTGTCCTAAATCTGATAAAATATCTTAGTGTAATTTTAACGTCATTCTTTAGTTTGGTTTTCTTCTACCAAATACACAAAAAGCATTTTACACTTCCTAACATTTCCTATTTTGGTTTTTGGCAGATTTATATTTTGGGATCACTTCATCTTAAAGGGTTTTTCGATGATAAAATAATTTACTGCTGACTAAGACACAGACTGTACCAAATAAGGAGCAATTGGGGTTACTAACATCACAATTAATCTTTTTAGGTAGTGGGTAGGTCGGTCGTAATATTAGCAAAGGCAATTTGTCAGGACGAGCTCTGCATACTGATGCTCTCAAAAAAAATCCTGACCATCCTAGGTTTGCATTTATTCAATTAATTTTTTAAAACCATTTTTCTAAAATATTTTCCTGGCCTTAAATATATTCATTTGCGCTCGACATATTGTTTTTATTTTCGTCTGCAGGCAACCTCTTGGCAAAGAGCGAGGGATTGAGATACACAGGGCCGTTTGCGTGTTGTTTTATTTATTGTTTTATTGCTTGACATATCGATTTCGACAACTTCCTTGACTTATACAGGTCAACTAGAGAACGCAGGCCGTCGCTCCACTTAGAACAAAACAGGAAACCTTCTACAAGATGGTAATGGTTAAATAAGAGTTGGTTTTGTGCAACAATTGGCCTATTAATTTTATTTGAAGTACAAAAATAAACACAGACAGGAGGAGAAAAAAATTAAATTGGAGAATTACAAATATTTCACAGGATTATCCAAGTTCAAATATTATAATAAACGTGCAATAAGAATATACTAATAATTTAATAACAGAAAAATGCTACTCATTGCCAGGACAAATTTGAATACCCAAAACTGAACAAAAATTTGCAAAATACGTGTTTGAAAAATGTTAACCACTTTGTAATTGAATAATTGCTTGCATGCGGAGATAGATTTAAGTCTTCAGGGAGATATGTAGCATCAATACAACCTTTTGTTTTACACGATAATTTATCGCCCTGGTTATCTTCCCATCATGACTAGTCTTCTATCATTACAAGGTAGAACATTTAATAAGAGAGCGCTCCTAAATTTTAATAGGGCACTTACATAGTAATTACACACAATCACCTAACAAGAACGGAACTACATAAGAAGAACAAATGACCTTTTTGGAACTGCAGTTGTAATTGAATTAATTACCAATTTGCTGAAACAATACATCCATTAAGCTTGTAGTTGCGAGGGTCTGGCAATTCATCAAAATTCCATAGCACAGAATAAGTTAAACGATGCCCTGAACCCAATATTTAGGAGCAGGAGTTCTAATTTTCTTCTTGGTGAAATGTGTGTTGTAACCGTGGGGAGATCGGGCGCCACTTCATGGGATGAACTAAAATCTGATACTCCCAACAGAGACCACTAGTATATCAAGTACTCCTCTTATTCGAACGTCAGTGCTTGATACAGATTTAATAAAACTATACTCCTCTAGTTTTATCAAAATTAATTTCTTTTGACGTTCTGTTTGCCATTTTAACTTAGTGTTGTTAGATTGGTGGTTATGTTTGTTTTTAACAGCACGTTTACCAGAGTTGTTCGATTTAGAAAAAAAGATAATTGTTTTCCTGTTGTTCTTGCTCCCCTGAGTATCATTAAAAACGAATTTCCTCCCCTAATTTGCTGGCAAAAATATGTGAGTGCACTAGGCACTGTGCAAAAATACAGGCGATTACTGTGTTAGACTACAATTTTGTACAGTGTAATCACAGTAGCAAAAAAAAATAATAAATACATAGAATGAATACATTTCAACCACTTAGAAATAAACTAAAATACATTATTCAATACTTACGAGGCTGTGGAGGTGAAAGCGTCGAAGCACTTGGTATGGATGTAGGTAACCATGGAAACGCAGTAGCCCACTTCGATCCGTCAGGAGAGTGCAGTAAATTTGGAGATATGGCAGCGTCGGACTTAGGAAGAGGCTTACTCAGTATGCCCGTCACACTAAATGAGTGACTCACGGTAGGGACCGAGGACGAGGGACTTTGGGGAGAGGGGGTCTCTCTGATTTCTGGACTTTCTCTGTCTGAATTGTCCAATTTCTTATCAGCCATAATAGAGTCCACACTAAAACTTATTCCTTCTCTAACCGTGGGAGCCGTGGTTTTGACATCGACCTGAACCTCTTCTGGGGAACTCGGAGAGCTATGGCTCTCTCTATCCCTAGTGGCATTGTTTGTTGGTTTACTAAACGCTGAATTGCTACTCGTCTGTAAGGTTGTGTTCGGTAACATCGTGCCCGATCAATGCCAACCCAAAACCACGTCCGTTGTGTCCACTCAGTCCAGATTTAGTCTTCTTCTCTGTGTCAGACGAGATCTTAGCTCCGAATGATCATAGTAAGCTTGATACCACAACATATCCATCATGGTGGTGACGTCACAACACTAACGTCCCCTATTGGTCGAAAATTTAATTGGCTGTAATAGAAAATAAATTTGCTGTGTATAAATAAGTGCCACTGACCGGGCTGTCTGTTTAATGTTTATTACTATCGCATAATCTAATTATGAGGAGGATGCTAATTAATGGATGGGGGTTGGGTTCACAATAGGGAGCCGGCGCTTGCTGTATTCTTCCCTTTATGTCGCAAAGGTATGTGAATAGACGGTATCTCTAAAAGGATCATTTGAAAAGGCTCATAAAATTTGATTCAAGCGAATAATAGAAGCTATTTGCACTTTACATGCTGCTTTAGTGCCGATCAATAACCAGTTCTTTTTGAGTTGCCTAATTGCTTGAGCAAGCAGGCAGTCAAGTCTTGTCACTCTTTTCTATAGGGAGACAAGTTAAGTTTCAAGAAGGCGCCAGGGTCGGGGTACATCAAAGAAAACAGCCCCGCGCATAGAACGCAAGAGCTCCCCCCAATACGCAGAATTTGTAAAGTGAATACACCTCAAACCGTACTGGTAATACCAGATATTTTACACGCCCGCGGCGCAATGATCCACCTCTGTACCCACGCACAAAGCGGAGGCATAACAAAGTGCAACTAAGTAGAGAAAGCCACTTAATGTAGAATCAAAACGATCCGTTCGAATCATCTTTTAAATGATCTCGAGTCATTTTGACATGAGGCTGCCGATTGTGTCGGTTTGAAACTATTAAACGCACAGACCCGGCAAATGATAGCTGACACTACTTTGGCCAAAGACACATTAATGGGTTTCGAATAAACGGCAATAATTCTAGGTGAAAGATTAGCTATTTTCCGAACAGTCGTCCTCGTAAAAAAAGTCCGCAGTTGTTGTCTTGTATCTTTTGATCTGGGCCTAAGTTAAAGAGAGCCGTGGAGTGTGTTTATCTAAACTGGCGTCAATTACAGGATTCTTTGTTAAGAGATGTATACAAGGCTTGAGAAGATTACTGTGCTAGTGATATCTAAAGGGCGCATCCTTTTATCCGTATTGACTCGGGTGTTACGTGGGAAAGGCCACCGGGTATTGAAAGAAACAAACAATCTAAGCACCTACTCATTAAGCTATCGTAAAATTAGTCCTTACTAACTTGCTAAGACTGTGATAAGAACTCCGTCTCCTTCCGCTCTCAAATAATTATCTGTAATAGATCCCGTTGCATTTACTTTACGAACGGCACGGAGGGGGGACGGGATTCTGTTCCGGTCACTTAGAGAGTTGCTCTGGCGCAGAATTGGAAATGAGGGACCAAAGAGCCCGCAGAGGGCCCGGCATTAGACTGAAACAAATTGAAATTCAGTTCTGCAACTTTCGCAAACTTTGGAATAATCGGGAACCTGCTGCAAAGCAGAGGGATAATTACACTCTTCACTGACCCGCGCTAGTGTAATTTGGACTCCCCAATCAAATGCTTGTTAACTAATGCCAGCGCACGTGCAAAATTGATTATCAACTACCCCGCAAATTGTCTTTGCAAATACCGCATAATTGCGGAGTAAGCTTGTAAAACAAACAACGTTAAGGGTTTAGCATATTAGCTTTAACAGTTTAATGAATTAGATGGTTGATTAACAAGCACTTCAAATTTTTGATTGAGCTGCGTGCCTCCCAAGGATTAGAAACCACCCCCCGCACCTTAGAAAACAGTAAAAACAGCAAAGAAAAAAAACGGAGGTGCTAACATTGGCGGTGCGATGAGCCGTTACGGATTACGAGGCACGCCAACACAAAAGTCATCACGACTTACAGGGAGGATAAACCCGGTTGCGGTGGCTATCTACGCCTGATGTCCGACAAAGAGAACAGATGCTGGCCTGACCAGTGTCATTCATAAAGTAACTGACCACTACTGTGTACATTCATTAAAGTAATTAATTCTAATAAGGCACGTGGGATGTCTTCCGGTTAATTCAATACGAACGTGTGCTTCAAGGTGAAGCTGATTATGAATAAACCATTCTGACTACGAATCTGAATTCATCGTCATGACAAACTGGTCTGTATTTCCTTGCAAATTGCTTATTCCTTTCATTTTCTGATCCCCTCTTTTTATTTTCATTTGCTCAGATTTTTTTCTTTGCACACAATGCCACGGATCACGAACATTTCAACTTCAAAACAATGCTTTACATGTCTTTATCACAGCTAAAGCTAAAACATAGGTTCTTACATTTGAAGGTCGAACATTCCTCCAACTTATAACGCATTATGCTCTTTAAAATATATATCAAATGTTGTAAACATGCTGAGATGTGAAACAAAATCACATAATGATTTAGTATCATGAATGATTTAAAGCACAAAATCTAGCTAATCACGCTATTCATCAATCACTTATAATTAATAAAACAAGATCGTGTTTTCCTAAATCAAGTGTGATTAAAGCTAATTTTAGGAGAATTATACTTGATAAAAAACACACATTCAAGAGGAGAAATGCCTGGTTAGATTTCCAGTAGCTTTTTTTACCGTTTTTGCTGTACGCATGATTTGTATGAATCACTGCTTTCATGGCTGTCTCTATTCAGCTCACTCGGCTTGTTATGCCCAAGACCTCGGAGATATGATGTCTATCTCTGCCAAATGAGAGGGTCTCGTGCCCAATGTTTTTAGAGGCACGATAATTATTACTGTGGGCTCGTGTAAGGTATAAAATTTGTAAAAGAACAATAGATATGAGGGTGACATGCACATACTTGCAGTATAGGAGTAGCGAATGCGTGCAGATTTATCGTAAAATTTTAATAGAAAAATCATAAGACATTACCACAAGATAAATGGAACAAAAGACACTTTTCTCCGCGTCTAGACATAATTTCCAATTATCTAAAGACCTTCTACGAGATCGGGTCACTTATCAAAATCCAAATTTATATATGCCTTTCAAAACAGTGTAATATTATAGTTTTGAGGGGTGCTTAGTTTTCATTTAAAGTGGTATCTCTTCCTCCCTTCATTTTTCATCACGCTAAAGAATTATTAACAACTCCGTGCGCTTTAATTCTTGAAACTCGATATAATTTGCTACAAATGTAACTTATAATAGAATCGCTGAAAAAATACCATAGATAGAAACGATACGGCATGGTAGACAATAAAAATGTATTATATTTATAATGAAAGGTGGCTGCTGCATATATTCGAAAAATGCAGCTTTTTGTAAACTGCAAGGCTATCGCGTCAGTTGATACCCGTGCCCTGGCACAAAGACGGATTGATTTACCTCGACACCTTTTTCATACCTAGGCGGGAGATATGCCAGTAATTTTAATAATTTTGATGAAGCTGAAGGATGATGATTATATTCACGCGATGTTAACCTAACTCATGCATATACATGAGGCATTGATCAAATGTATGCAATCACGTGGAACAGCCACGGTGCTGCTGAGCATGCGAGGCTCCCTGTTAATTCTAACATCTGCACGCGTCCAAACCTCAGAGCGCACCTACATAACATTCAAATAGACGCATACCAAATACAACACAGTTGTGGACTGAAATCGAAATACAGGATAAAGTTAACGCCCTCATTAAAACCAGGACTTGTTTTTCGCATTTACCCGTGACATTTCACCACTATTTCGGTCTGACGCTTCGAGACCATTATAATGAAAAATGCCTTATCACACGTATCCTGACAGCACGTTAAAAATTGAGCTCATTAGAAAAGATTGATACACAAATTTGTTACTGTTAACTCGAGGACCCCTAACTAGGTTATTAAAATCAAAAAGCTTGCCTGTAAATCTTAATAAATTTTAATCTACGATATGCTTCAGCTAGCACGTTTTTGCAAACAATAAAACACGGATCGGCTGTGTTTAACTTTGAAAGGAGCGGAAAGAGATAATCATATTTCACAGTAATTATTTTCTCTTACACATTTCCGTCATTGTGCTTTGATTTAAAAAAAGAATCATCATTTTTACTCATAATGCCCTTTTTGACCACTTTTTTTGGATGGAAATTTGAGAAGTATTCAACATTTTCATAAAGATTATAGAACCACATTATTAATCAGAGCTTTAATAGCGTGTTGTCACGTGATCAATCATTTTAAATGACAACAAAAAACTGTCGTACGGCAAGAAAACTGTAAGGAGGATTAATCAAGAGTTTGAAAGGAGCTTGTAATCATCTAAGTGAGTTTTATATTTGGCACCGTGAGAACATTTGTGTTTTGAGACTACGTGGTTATTAATAAACATCAATTTATATCAAATGACCAGTCGAATAACCAGTCAAAACACAAGAGCAAGTGTAAGTGTAGTAGGCCCATGAGCCTCCACACGCAGCGTCATTGTTTTAACTGGCCATTTTCAGAGGTTTGAATGTTCATTTCATGATGGAGCAGGCAATAAGGTGTGTAACTAAACAACTGATTAACTACTGAAATATAGCTGTATCTCGGCAGGTCATTGTTAAGGTCCCGGGCCTTCCTTGATCCTCGCGAAAACAAAGTACTGGTCTTTCTATCTTGTAATGGTTCATAAGATCGCCTGCTCTATGTCTGTTAGCACAACAAAGCGCTCGTGTATCGGTTATTCGAAAACCCCTCACACGCCAGGGCGTGAAAGCAATACCTGTCTTCGCGCGTATATATCAGCCGATCTATTCCTCCCTCTCAGCACGCCCTTTGCTCTAAGCATCCATTTTATTGTAATATCATTAATTTGAAGTTTTCTTTCATGGCGGCTAATTATACGTAATCTGCTGCGTACCGAGGTACAGCATTGTTATTTATAAGCGACGACCAAATTAAAGTGGCCTAACGAGCTATTCATGACCCATTGATCTTCTTTAATTGTCTCAATTACCTCCCTCCATTTAATAAAAACATATGGCCAGGTAGATAATACTGATTGACTCCTCAGGTAAGAAACTTCAAAGAAGCCGACAGTAATTGCAAATTAGAGAAATTAGAATAAGAGCCCTTTTATGGCTACTGTTCTGACGCGGAATT